GGGTCCAGGATGCGAACTGCAGTTGACTACGTGGGAGTCCAGCGACATAGCCATTACACTAACTGCTGGTCCCAAGGCTTCCTTTTCTTTATGTAAAAGAAAAAAAAATGCTTTCCAAGCTCTAGCTCAGTCTAGAGTGTCCTGGACTGCAACGGTAGAAGCCACATGGCAACCAGGTTCGAATCCCTTCAGTTCAGCCTAAACCACACAGGGCACCAGTGGAGTACCCAAGATCCTGGAGGACTGGAAGCAGGGGATCTCAGTGTGACCCTATGTTGGATGTGCATCTTTCTCACACATGTACGTGCACACATGTGTTCTTGTGTGAATAAAGAAAACCCTTTGTGGGAGGCCAACAGGTGGGGTGGTAGTTGATGCTGGACTTCATATGGTTGATGACAGTTCGATTTCTGGACCTGGGGGCTTACTTTCTTTCTCTGTCTCTCTGACTAGTGCACATGTCCTATACAAATTTAAAAATAATAATGATAAATAAATTAAGTAAAAAAACATATTTTAAATTGCTGAATGAATTAGCTCTTAAAGCTCTTAATTAGCTCTGCCTGAGGTTGCTTCTGGTAATTTCTTATTAAGATGAGGAAGTGCAGGTTCAGCCAGGTTCAGGGATTCCCCAAGTTGACTCCATTAATAAGTGACAGATCTAGGACTCAAACACCGGTGTGACACTAATGCCAAAGTTCTTAACTTCTAAACTTACAAATATGGTTGTCTATGACTTCAGCGGCATAAGAGAACCATTGTCTCTGCTAGGGGTCTCAGTGGCTTAGGAATTGGGATGAGGCAAGTGGCAAGGACTGGTCTCTGCTCCATGATGGCTGGGACTATTGAACAGCTGGGGTAATTTCATGCTGAGAACTAGAATCATCTGGAAGCAGCTCCACTCCCACATCTGACACCTGGGCTGAGATGACTCCAGGGTTAAGTCCAGCCAGGGCTGGAGACTGGAGCACCTGCATGTGATCGTGCATTCAGCCTGGGTCTCTCAGCACAGCAGTCAGGCTCCAGATGGGAGCCACAGCGAGCAAGAGAGCAGGTGGAACTGTGTGGCCTTCGTGCTCGGGCTCAGAGGCGATGAGATTGACCTCTGCTGTGTTCTGCAGGCCACACCAGATATAAGACTGCCAGATTCAGCGGGGGCGGCAGAGATCCCTCCTCCCCCATGAATGGAATGTCAAAGAATTCTGGAGCTACCTTTATATCTACTCCTACTATGTGCCAGCAGTGTTCTCAACCCTGGAGAGACAGCAGTGAACAGGGAAGACAGAGATGAACGAATGCTATGTGGAAGCAAAAAGCAAAGACCTAACCCAGGTTAGAGACCCAAGAAAATGTGTTAGAGGAAGTGACCTTGAGGCCAAGGCCTGAAGGACAGTTGGTCAGATAAGGCAGGGGTCCCCAACTCCTGGACTACAGACTGGTATCGTGCCTGTTAATGCCCGGGCCGCACAGCAGGAGGGGAGCAGAAGCCGAGCAAGCGAAGCTCCATCTGTATTTATAGCTGCTCCCCGTCGCTCCCATTATTGCCTGAGATCCACCTCTTATCATATCAGCAGCCAAACTGATTCTCACAGGAGCATGAACCCTGTTGTGAACTACGCATGAGCTGCGTCTAGGTTGTGTTCTTGTAAACCATTCCCGTCCCCACCCCCACCTCGTCCATGGAAACACTGTCTTCCACAAAACCAGTCCCTGGTACTAAAAAGGTTGGGGTCTGCCAACATAAAGGAAGGACAGTCAGCCAAGAGGGAGAAGGGACGGAGGAAGGCTAGCAACGCAGGCAGGTCAGGGCGATGCCACAAGGCATTAGGGCTTCATCCTCTGTCCTGGGGCACCAGTGAGGGTCGTAAAGGGGGACTGCTGGGCCAGCTTCACGAGCCTGGAAGAGCTTTCCAAACTAACTAGGGCACCTACAGGACGTACTGGAAGTCTGTAATGGGGCTGTGGTCTGGGTGAGAGGTGGTGGAGGTTTGGGCCCGGGTGGTGACCACAGGAATGGGAAGAAGTTGAGGGTCTAGGGATTATTGGTTACTGGGATGTGGAGGATCTTGAGAAGGGTTGTCCGGAGTGACTCCCAGAGTGCTTGATGATCGGGTGAGACGGGACACAGAGGGGGCCAGGGTATACGGTGGGAAAGACAGTGTGTTTGGATCGCTTCATTTATACCTCAGGGCCTCCCTGAACCATTTAGCACAGCAGTTAAGAGCACTGGCATTGCGGCTAGCAACCTGCGTTCGAATCTTGGCTCTGCCACTTGCTAAGCGGGTAAGTCTGAGTGGGTCCCCTACACCTGCTGGGTGTTTCCTTATCTGTAAATTGGAGACAATAGCACCCTCCCCACGGGGTGGATGTATTAAACTGATGCTCAGGCATGTCTATGGCTGGGCATGTCGTGAGCACTCTGAAAGTTTAAATACCAACTAGAGACATGTCACCCTCCTGCACACGTGGGATTGGTGCACTTTTCCGCGTCCATTCTGGTCAACAGAACATCGGAAACAGAGCAGACAGAAAGCCGGCATGGTCATGAGGCTCTGAACTCATTTTGTGCGTGTGCTGAGCAGCCGTTGCTCTTACTAAACGGGGTTCTTACAGCCACACGGCCGGCCAAATGTGATCTTGGAACAATTGCACCTTTGGAACTGTGGGTGTTTTGTTTCTCTTCTTTCCTGGGCCCCTCTCTGACCTCAAAAAAATTATCCAAAGAGATGATTGCCCCCTCACTGTTTCGCTATCACATGGTGACACAGTGGACGACTTTTGTTTTGGTTTAATCGCTGCGGTTTTCAAATTGTCACGAAAACACACAGATGCCGGTAATTTCCAAGCAAATCGCACAGCAGCTCAGGGAAGCAAGTGTGTAGCAGCATGGGGCGCCGAACAGACTCGCAGGAGGTGCCGACTCGTGGCTTTCTCAAAAAGCATAAATAGAGCGGAACAGCCAATTTTATAATTAACTGGGAATTGGTCTCCAGTTAAGCTTCTGCTCGGTGGAGATGGCCACGCTGTTGCCAGGGCCGGGCTGCATGCCCTGACTCCCTGTGGGCACTGGTAGGCTGCAGAGCTCTGCTCTCCACGCTGGCCTGTATTTCAGGGTGGAGTTGGCGGAATGTTGGGGGGGCAGGCACAAGCTGGGGTATGGAGGTACTGCAGGACGGGCTGTGCAGAGAAGGTGGGGGAGGCTGGCTCTGCAACCCAGTGGTAATGTGCTGCTCAAGAGAAGTGGGAGCCCACATGGTGGTGATTGGGGTTTGACTCTCCAACCTGGTCAACACAGAATATGCCAGGTATGTGTGCAATTGCCCAGGACCTGATGGGCTGGAGGAATGGAGGAGATTGCAGCATGACAGGTCTCTGAGAAGATGTGCCCTCCCTCCCCCTCATGCATGCACTTGTACAAATAAAGAAAAATATATATATTTGGGGGGCTGGACTCCCACATGGCCAACCACGGTTCAAGTCTCGGACCTGGCGGTTTGCTTTTTCACTTCCTCACTCTTTCTCTGTCTCTCTCTGATCAAACTGGAAAATAATAAAGTTAAATAAAATAATTCTTTAATATATATACATTTATTTCTATATATATGATTGTTGGAAAAGTCATGACACATTTTTGCATAGAAAAAATATGTCATGACTTTTCCAACCTAACTTTTATATTTATATATATATACACATATATATATATATACACACACACACACACACAAGAACATGAGAGTGCTTTGTTCAAAAGTTATCAAGAATGGGGACTGGGAGGTGGTGTGGTGGTTAAGGGCACTGGACTTCCACATGGCCAACTGCAGTTTGAGTCCTGGACCTGGCAGCTTTCTCTCTCTCTCTTTCTCTTTGTTCCCCTCTGGTCAAAATTAAATAAATAAATAAACTTGAATAGAATAGTTATTTAAAAAAAAAAAAGTTATCAAGAATGGCAAGACGGTCCCAGCACAGCACTAAACCAAGCGCAGTGCCCTCTAAGCATGGGAACCCGTGTGGCTGCGCACACCTTCGGAAGCTGGCGGGATGGACATCAATTGGTGGGATCTCAGGCTGAGGGTGAAAGAAGCTTCAGGTGGCATGGTGTTTAAGTTGCTGGCTCCCACATGGCTGTGTGGTTTAAGTCCCAGACTTAGGAGCTTGAAATCCATGTGTGTGCTTGTCCAAAGTTCTGAAGTAAATGGCAGAGAAGGGATTGTGGCATAGCCCTCCCCCTGGGGGGGTGCTTTCTCAACTCTCTCTCTCTCTCTCTCTCTGGTGAGTGCACATGCCCTATAACAAAAAAAAGGGACAGCGTCAGGGACTATGGGCTCAGGACCCCACAAGAAGGAGGGCAGGTGAGAAAGTCAACACAAAACAAGCACAAATACAACAGAACAATTCTTCTAGGACAATTCTGCAAGAAGTATCAAAATTTCACATTTTGAGCAGCTCTACTTCTAGCACTTCCTCTGCACAGAATGAGTAGTCCTGGAGTGCTTGTTGCAGTGTGACTTGGGATGTGGTGAGCACTCATCGGGGTTTGAGAGACCTCCTCAGTCCATTCATGAGAATGTGGCATCTATGAAGCAGTCCCCACCTCCCAATACTGAATTCCAAAACTTGACACCTTGGGGGACAACCCATGATCTAGAGGGTAACACATTCCTGGGGAGGTGTCGCAGTGTAATGGCCTGGTGTTTTATCCCCGCTGACGAAGGCCAGCTGTCCCATTGTCAATGCCTGCTCACCTCACCCCAGAAGGCAGAAAGACGTGAGCTGCTTGGCCCTGCTTCTGTCTTCTGTGGCACCACTTGTTCCCAAGGATTTGGGGTGGGTGATGGGTAACAGGTCGGTTGCTGAGAGCCCGTCTCTCTCCCACCCTGCTCAGGTAGCTTGCCCAGGTTCTGGAGGCCAAGGCTGGCTTCTGGAGCACCAAGAAGCCCATGGCAGACTACCATGAGCAGATGTGCCTGACTTCCCTCCTCCCTCCCCGCTCGCTACAGCTCTGGCTCCTCTTCGGGTCGAATGAAGCAGCTTCCCCGAAAGAATGCCCTGCAGTCACGTCCTGCCAACTGCTTCCACCAGCGACTGTCCTCGGCCGAGAGCTTGTCCATGGATGGCTTTTGGATTGAGGTGGAGCAGATCCAACAGAGGGATGAGCTGAAAGACGAAGACGGCGGGGGAGAAGGCCTGTTTCCAGAGGGTGAGGGGGCCTGCTGCAGCTGGCAGGGATGGCGAGGAGGGCCTTACCCCAGGGGGAGAAATGTGAGTGCAGACCTGCCCCAGAACGTGAAAGAACTTTCTCTCTTGCCTGGACTACTGTGGTATCCTCTTCACTGGTCTCCCTGCTTTGCCCTAGCTCCATACCATCTGCTGTCTGTGCCATGGTCAAAGTGGTCTTTTAATGTAGATTTGGGGGCCAGCAGATGGTGTAATGGTTATGTCGCTGGACTCCCGCATAGTCAACTGTGGTTCAAGTTCCGGACCTGGCAACTTGGAACTCATGCAAGGCATGTGTGCGTGCATGCCCAAGATCCCCAGAGGAAAATGGGAGAGAAGGGATTGCAGTGTGGCCATCCTATCTGAGGGTGATTTCTCACTTTCTGTCTCTCTGGTGAGTGCATATTCCCTATATCAAAAATATCTCTTAAAAGAGAATGTAAATTTGGGGACCAGTAGTTGGCGCGGTATTTAAGGTGCTGGACTCCCACATGGTTGACCACTATTAAAGTCCCAGACCTGGCAACTTGCTTTCTTACTTTCTCTGACTCTCTGATGAGTTCACATGCCCTATAGGAAATTTTAAAATAATATAATAAAAAATAAAATTAATTCTTTTTTTAAAAATGTAAATTCAGTTATGTTCCTTCTTAGATCAAGTCATTCAACCAATATTTATTACCTGCCAGGCACTATCTCGGCACTGGGGACACAGCAATGAACACAAACCTAGCTTCCGCACTGGGGTGCTAACCTGCTTGCTAAACTTTTATGCTCTGCTCAGAGTCCTCAAATGTCTCTCTATCTCTCTCAGAGTAATAGACAATCATACCCCGATTATCTAATACTATGCAGCAAACTGCTCTAAACAGAGCATAAAGCAATGGCTATCAACTGTTATTACTATTATTATTACTGTATCTCGCTGCTCTGGGGGTGGGATGGGCTCAGCGAAGCTCTTCTCGCTCAGGGACCTTCATACATACAGTTCCCGTCAGAAGGTAGCTGGTACTGGCCTCATCTCAAAGGATTTCTTACTCATGTGTCTTGTGTCCGGAGTGGACGTGACTGTGGGCTGGGACACCCACATGTGGGTTCAGCAAAACTTCTTCACAGCATGGTGAGTTCTGAGAGAGCCAGGTAGAAGCTGTCTCACTGCTGATGTTGATGTCACAAGGATGTTAATGTCACACCTGCCCCAGCTGCAGCCTGTATTCAGAGGGAAGGGAAGAAGACGCCACCTCTCCATGAAGTGAGAGTCAGAGAATCTGGGGACACATGGTTAAACCACCGCATCTTAGCTCACAAGCCTCATCTCCTTCTAGCCTGGCATTCTGTAACTCTCCTGCCCTGGGGCCTCCTTAGACCATGAAAGCACAGCTCTGCCCCAGGTCTTCTGCTCTTACTGCTCCCTTTGCCTGGAGTGCTCTTCTGCCAGCTGTCTGCATGGTTTGTTCTCTCGTCAGTCCTAGGCTGATTGCCACCTCCTCAGAAAGATCTTTGCCAACCTCTGCATATGAAATAACACCCCTGCCTCTGTCACTCTCTAACTTCTTTGTCACTATAGCAGTTATCACTACGTGACACTACCTTTTCTTTTTTTTTTTTTGGCTTTGTTTTTGTTTTTTGCACGTTTGTTTGGGTCCCCAACTAGAACGTAACTTCCACGAGGCCATTGTCACAACTGTGTTCTCAGTGGCTAGGACAAGCACATTCTATCCTTACTGTTCAGCAAATGAGGAAATGCAAAGGGCATAATTCAGCTGTGCTAGCCATGGTTGACTGCACAGGCCATAGGGGTGGCTCAGATCCCCTAAGGGCTGTATGACCTGTTGTGATGTCTCAAGTGTGGAATGCAAATCCCTGGTGATAGGAGAGGTGGGTTTAGTAGATGCCTTCCACTTCAGGCACCCTGCCTGGCACTGTGACATGGCCAGCAATCTAATTTCAAGCAAAACAGAGGAATTGGAGTCAGAGCGGGAAAGGGAGAAGGCTCTTTGAACAACTAAATAAAAACAGATATTTCTTTAGACTCATAAGGCAGAGGGAGCCTCTGTGTGAATTGGAGCTAAGATTGCTAATACTTACTTTTCCTGCTAACTTCTACTAACGACGGGTGATGTTGGAGGCTCCATTTATGATGGTGATACTGTTTCTTTTAAAAAATAGATTTAAGTAGAAATGCAGCCATGATTAGGGAAGAATGTCTGGTAAATGAGTGTACAGAGTAGTTAGAGCCAGGTAAAGATGATACGGGTAGTAAGTGACTCTCTACACTTGAGGAAACACTGACATATGGAAAGGATCCTGTTCAAATGAAAGAAGTCCTGGCTTCAGGATAGAATCGGTGCCCCCACCAGTCATGACTTAGGGGTGCACCCACACAGCTGGGGCTGCCCTGGAGGCATTTGTTCTACTTGCCCGATACAGGAAAAACGGTGGGAAGGACTTCCATGTTTGGCTATTTGCACAACCCAAGCAACCATAAAAGCAGGTGATGGGAGGGTTTTGAAACTATCAGCACCTCATTGACTAACTAGGCCAATCCTGGACACAGCTAGATACAGCCCTCCAGTCCTCTCACATGGGTACGACTTCTTCCAGGGACTCCTGTCCACTTGACCCACCATAAAGCTGATGTTTCTCAGGTGTGATCTGAAGCCCCCGTTGCATTAGAACAATCTGGAGAAGGTGTTTCAAGTGCAGATCCTCAGGCCTGGGCCTGAACTCCTGGAACAGGATCCCTGGAGATGGGGCCCAGGATCCTGCAGTCTCGACATGGCCCTACTGTTTGCATTAGTGGTTTTCCTATAGGACCATGGCAGTTTCTTCATGAAGCCCAGTTGAAGGGACCATTCCAACAGAAAGTCTTTGATAGAGGTGGCTTCCCAAGGGGACACCAGCAGTTTAACTGCACAGCTGGGCCTGTGTAACGCTTGATGGTCTCTGCCAGATATGGGAGGTATAGACAGCTCATTGCTGTATTCTAGAGTCAGAACATTCAGGGCCCTTCCACCGCCTGCTCTATTTCCACAGGAGTGACTATTACAGGTCCAAATCCAGATACTGGCTAACAACATCGGTACCCCCCGAGTTCTCAGAGCCTTGTTAAGTCTTCTCCCAAGAAGATTCTGGTTGGTGTTAATGGGTCTCACACAAGATAGGCAGAGGCCCCTGCATCCACGTGGCCTCCACACAGGGTCTGGTTAACGTGTGTGACTGAGCGTGGAGCTGCGTGTTCACCTGGGTGTTCTCTCTCTGTTGGCAGAAGGGGAAGCAGAGTCCCAGTGGCTGCAGGACACTGGCCTGTTGGGTCTCCTTGGTGGCCTCGGCTTGAACTGTGATCACCGGGGGCTCCTGTCCACTCTGACACGGACTCAGGTGTCCGCAGTGTGCCGTCGGCTGGACATCTGTGCCCGCTCAGCCCGAAGACGACACAAGGCACCTGTGAGAGATGTCAGGGACGTCTTTGGGGTCTTCGGTTCAGGGGTGAGTAAAACAGCCTAAGGGGCCCTACAGGGCCCTGTCTGCCTGGGGACTGTGCAGTGGTCCCGCTGCAGGGCTGTGTCATGTATCACATGCATCACACGTGCACATTCACATGTGTGGGTGGAGTGAGCAGGCTTGCACACAGGCGTCTCCCTGCATGCCAGTGTCCCCATGCTGCATCTAGGTCTGTCTGCTATGCACACCAATGCGTATGGGCCTGTCACCCCCGTGACTTGGCGGGCCCCTCTGTATAATGGCAGTCTACACAATTATAGGACATTTTATCATCACCTGTATACCTGCTGGTACTTGACACTTGACAGGTGTGCATCTTCTTTCTTAGCATACATGCGAAGTAGCAGAACACAGTGATTAAAACAATAGACACGGGCCAACAGCTGGCATGGTGGGTAAGGCACTGGTCTCCCACATGGCTGACCACGATGGAGTCCTGGACCTGGTGCCTTGCTTTCTCACTTTCCCTCTTTCTCTCGCTCTCCCTCTCTCTCTGGTGAACAAATGTGCTCTACAGCAAATAATAACAATAATAATAAATAGTTTTTTTAAAAAAGAGATCAAAAGCTTATTATTTTCTTGAGAGAGAGAGATTTTTGCTAGAGGGTGTGTGTTTACCGAAGAGACAGTCACAGAGAAACAGAAAGCAAGAAATAACTCCCTGGGGTGGGGGGGGATGACCATGCTGCAATCCCTTCTCTTCCATTCTCCTCTTGAGATTTTGGACAGCAAGCACGTGTACCTGGGGTGAGTTTTAAGCCTTTGGGTCCAGAACTTGAACCACAGTCGACTACATGGGAGTCCAGTGACAGAACCATTACACCATCTGCTGGTCCCTCAAAAGATTATTAAAAAAGAGAGGCATCAGAGGCAGACAGACCTGGCCCCCATTGCCCACTCCCCCACTTAGCAGCTGTGGGATTGTGGGAAAGTCAGGTGGTCCCTCCGAGCTTCCGCTGCTCCGGCTGAAAAGGTGGTGTCGTGAATGGCCATCTCCCAGGGATGGTCCAGTACCCTCTGCTGCCTACATGACTAATTGACAACTATCTGGAATTTACACAGGAAGTATCTTCTGAGAATGGGGACTCAGGTATGAAATGGACCCAGCTCAGTTCCGGGGCTCCTCCATCCCCTCCAGGTAAGTGGTCTTTATTCTCCAGGGCCTGGGGAGGCCTCCAGGCTGTAAAGGGGCTGCCCCTTAAAGTGAGAGAAGGTGCAGAGCTCGGAGCATTTCCTTCTTCCTGAGGGCTCTTTGCCTTCCTGGCTCAAGGGCAGCAGGAAGCAGCCCTGAGGGGATAAGCTGGGTCCTTCAGTGGGCTACTGCCATCAGGCCCATGGGCCTTAGTTAGGAAATCACTCCCGGGGCAATAGGTCTGAGCCTTAAGCCTAATGGTTTGATCCTGGGGCTTTGATCTTGAACCCCGGACTTGTTCTTGGGGGTAAAGGCCTGAGCCCTGAGCCCAAGAACTAGCTCCCTGGCAGTCAGTCCTAACTGCCTCTCTGTGTTGTTTCCCCAGTAGCAACAGCAGCAGCAGAGCCCTGGGGGCCGCAGGAGCAGGCTGGGAGGGAGGAAGCCTTCAATATGGACTCCGCCTACTCGGAACAAGCTGCTGCACTCCTGCAGAGGGCCAGGCCACTGCCGGGAGGCGCCTGTGCCTGGGACAGGGGCGCCCTGCCGGTGAGGACACTGCCTGCCTGGTGGCCAGGCCTGGTCGTGGGCCCTCCCCACACCTTCCGGGCTGCCAAGCACCCAGTGTGACAGTCACTGAATCATTCATTCATTTGATTCTTACCACAAATACTGACCTGGTGACTGCTGGGTGCCAAGGGCTGGGGAGAAGGGCAGAAGGGAGCTTCCGGTCTAGAAGTCCCACCCGTAGTTCACTGCTGTTCTTCTTCCTTGCTTTTATCTTTCAAAAGTCTTCCCTTATCTAGAAGGTTGGCAACTGTCCACTGAAGTATGCCTTTCTAATTGTCTTTCTGTTAGGTTTTTGCCATAGGGTGTCTGTGTTTACCAGAGAGGAGAGAGACAGAGAGAGGAAAAGTGAGAAATCACCCTCCAAGGGGATGGCCATGCTGCAGTCCCGTCTCCTCCATTGTCCTCTGGGCATTTTGGGCACACATACATGCCTGGTGTGATTTTGCAAGCCACCGGGTCTGGGGCTCGAGTCGCTGTCAGCCGGGTGGGAGTCTAGTCACCCTAACCACCATGCTACCTGCTGGCCTTCAGTTATTTTTAAGCTTAATTTGGGTGTTTGGTACAAGAGAGACCTAACTTTCTAGGTTTTTTTATATTTTTGTTTTGTTTCATATTTTCTCTTCAAATGATCATTGGTCCTGGCACGGCGGACGCAGTCATTTCCTTGTGGGTGTCTGAGCATGGAGCATAACTCACAGTAAGGCGCCCAGGAATTTACCACACACAGCGATGTGTGCCCCTGTGTGACCGCCATCCAGTCAAAATAGAGAAACTTCCTTCCTCACCAAAGCCTCCCCCTGCCCTTCCCTGGTGGCCTCCTCTCCCCAGGGTGACCACTGTTCTGACTTCTTTCATGGGCTGTCATCTTTCTCAGGTCCTGTCAGTACGAAAGGAAGAATCTCTTCTTTGACCCCATGATGATGCAGTTGGGTGACCCTGGGTGACACTGTGCTGAGGGCTGCTCTGGGCCTGGGCGTGGTTTCTGAGCTGCCATGCACTAGCTTCGTCCCTTCACCTGGTCCTAGGGGATGAGTGCTGTCATTGCGACCCCACTTTATTTATTTACTTTTTGAGGGAGATTTTTTCTATAGGGTGTGTGTGCTCGCCCGACAGATAGACAGAAAGTGAGAAATCCCTCAGGAGGGATGGCCACATCGCAATCCTTTCTCCTCCATTCTCCTCTTGGGATTTTGGGCACATACACACACCACCCAGCATGAATTTTAAGCAGCCAGGTCCAGGACTCAGACCATGGTTGACTACGTGAGAGTCCAGTGACGTAGCCATTTTGCCATCTGCTGGAATCCTGGCAGCCTGTCTCCAAACCTCCCCCAGTAACCACTACGCTTTATGCTTAAGAAAGCTGCCCCCAACACCCTGCAATAACTTCTGTTTCAATGTGAAAGTGTTTTCATTCATTCTAATGGAATTTACTTTTAAGCTTTTCATTTTGAAATAATATTGTACACACAAGAAGCTGCAAAAAGAGTACAGTTCCCTTGTACTCGTCGCCTGGTTCCTCCCAGAAGTAACGTCTGACATAACCATGGTGCAGCAGGGAGATTTTTGCACGAGTTTCTATTCCTACAGTGTCAGAGATCATTCATTCTCAACCCATCTTTCCCCTTTGGTTGTTCTCCCATTACACTACGAATGATCTGATAACTAATAATGCCAGCGATATAACAGACTGACCTCTCAATGCTGACCAGGCATTATGCAAGTGTTTCTTTTTCTCTTAGATTTTTGCCATATTGCACATGCACTTGCCAGAGAGAATGAAAAATAGACAGATACATAGAGAGGGATAGTGAGAAATCCCCGGTCCTACCCAGGCAGGATGGCCTCGCTGCGATCCCTTCTCCTCAATTCTTCTCTCAGGAGTTAGGGCATGTGCAAACATGTGCCCAGTGTATTTCAAGCCACCAGGTCCAGGACTTGAACCGCAATCAGCCATGTGGGAGTCCAGGGGCTTAATCACTCTGCCACCTGCTGGCCCTATACCAAATATTTACATGCATGATTTTGTCTTATACAGTTATGTGGGTGGTGATTGTGTAAATAAACTAAAAGAAAACAGTGATAGTTAATAATTATCAATTACTGCATGTCTGACAGCATGTTTTATATGCTTTATTGAGTTGAATCTCACCAACAGCCCTACGAATTAGAAATGTTGTTAGTCCCATTTTTCAGATGAGAAAACCAACAAACAACTAAAATTATTCTCCTGAACTCCTAAGTCAAGTCGGAATTTGAACCCGGGAAGTGTGATAGCTCACGTACCAAGCATTACGCTATATTCTAACTATAACATTATTAAATGTAGCCACAGCCTGCTACTCTCCCTGGGGGCACTCATGTGGGTACTGAAGGATAATCTGCTGGGTCCCTCAGGTCACACTGGGCAAAGCTGTCAATCTTGCTGTTTTCTAACAGGAGTACCAGGAGTAGCCCGAGGTTCCCCAGTATGGCCTCTAGATGGCACAGTTGAGCTCTTATTTTTCAGTTACTATTTGGTTGGTTCAGAGCGAGGTGACCGTGGGTGGCATGGCCAAGGGTAAAAGGACAGATGGAATGAGGGAGAGGGACAAAGGACAAGAATAGAAGCAATGACAGGAAGCCCATGGGATGACTCCTCTCTTCTAGTCCCTCTTTTTTTCTTTTTAAGAATTATTTTATTTTATTTATTCATTCATTTATTTAAATTTGAACAGAAAGAGAGAAAGTGAGAAAGCAAGCCACCAGGTCTGGGACTCAAACCGTGGTCAGCCATGTGGGAGTGTCCAGAGCCTTTACCACCACACCGCCTGCTGGTTCCCCCCTAAGTCCCTCTTATAATGCAGGTAGTAAAAGCAGCCTCTGTGTCCTGGCCTCGCTCTGTGCCTGGTGCCATGTACTGTGCTAAGCTCTGTGGACCCATCAGCTCATCTCACCCCACAGAGCCCTGAAGGGGCGGGCACTGCTTTACGGCTACAGAATGGTCATCTGAGGCTCCGAACGTTCTCGAGTCCAGGATGGAATCCACAGCTCCTCTCTCCTCTGCTCTTATCCACTCTGTCTTCCTCGTGCCTAAGTGCCTGGCGGGGCAGGGGAGCCTCCGTATACACATCAGACACATGGCCTGAGACACTGTCTTCACTTCCTTCTCTAGAAGTTCAGAATCCCCAAAGGCAGACTCGGAGTGACAAGGATAGGAGACTTGTCCCTGGAGGATATGAGGAAGATCCCTTCGCTGGCCCTCATAGAGCTGACCGCGCTCTGTGACGTCCTGGGACTGGACCTGAAGAGGAGCAAGGTGTGCAAGTGGAAGGCAGCAGGTCAGCCAGCCCAGCCCCGGACCTTCCCTGTGGCCAGCGTCCTGGCCAACTCCTCCAGGGAGCTTCCCGGGCATGTTCCCACCCAAACGCGCTTGGCTTCTGTATTTCTTCTGCTTTTATATATAATATATATAAATTTATTTTAAAAATAATTTTTATTAATTTAAATTATTATTTATACATTTAATCACTATACGTCATTTAGATTTTAAAGAGACTTTACCCCACGTG